TAAATGTTCTCATATAGGTTATATATTTTATTCATTTAAATTATAAAGTTTATGAAAAATAGAACTGGGACTTTGGCTCTTACAAATAAATTTTTTAATTGATAAAGAAGGCCTTATTTTTCTATTATCATATAATATAATTAATAGAACATACACTACCATATATTAAAATTTAAAATTAAACTTAATAAAATATTAACTTTTTATGTTCATTATGTGCAATTCAATACATTTTCTAAGTTGTTTTGGTGCAAAGTTATTGTATTTTTTGAAGAGTTGCCTATTTGCAATAATAATGTATAAATTAAATAAAACCTCATTTAAATGACAAGTGGAATAGTAATAATCATGTTAATATATTTGAAGGGACATACAAATTGTTATTAATAATTAATATAATTTGATAACAATTAATTGTAATAGTATGCTGATATTTAATGGAATCSTTATAATTGTCTATTTGTTTAATAAAGTAAATACTAGAAAACTAAAATTAATGTTTTATTGTAGCCAATAAGTAAAAAATTAAAACTGTAAAAGACTCCTAATTTATATAAAAGGAATATTATATAATAATATACATTGTGGGACCATGTAAAGTATTAAACTGTAACATTAATTTTATACCTGCTTCTTTAATACTTTTAAATTTGTATTTATTTTCCATAAATCATAAGCACTAGAAATTCCAAATCATTAGGTACCTAAAGGTTAAAAGTATATCTAGTGTCTTTTTAACTAACTATTCAAATRTTTATAAATATTTGAAGAKTTATAGTCTTAAKRGGCTATAAAGTTTTTTAAATGTGAACATTTTTGTTGCGGATTATAAAATAAAATATCTAAATGTATTACTATTTATAATAGCATTCAGAAAGTACAAGTCGACTTAATAAATGATTTATACAGTTGACAATTATACTGGTATATCGTCGTTCATTAAGCTTCATTGTATCAATATAATCTAAAATTTTCTAAATTATATATTAAATGAAGCTAGTATACATCACCGCGCGTATAATACTGGACATATTGGTTGCAGACGATATACATTATATTGCATATTGTAGGCATATAATATAATGTTACACTTGGTCATATTTATACTTCTCAGAGTTCAGAGTTGCAACTTGTAATCATATTCTATCTTTTTTTTTCAATAACTGGTTGTACCACTTGACTCTTTGACTTTGACTCTATATGTAGAATGTATGTAGAATACAGATATAGGCATTCGAAATATACGAAGTATTAAAAGAAAATACTAGTTTTTAATGTTGAGTATGTGGAATTCGTCGATGTGAAGTAGGTATAACTGCATTTAGGATGGTTAATCACTAGGTTATATTAACTAGAGAGGCTTGTGCAGTTGTGCGTTTCTAGTTACTCTGTTTCTACGATTTATACGTCTTAGCAAACATCATAGATTATACGAAATTTATTATTATTTATTAGTACTTAGGTAGGTAACCTACCTACTTTACTTTCAATTTTTCAAATATCCTATTCTAAATTCTTTGAAAATATAATATCTTTATTGTTAAAATACTGCGTATAGCGTGTTCTTGTGTAACAATGTTTTATTATTATTAAAAATTTAACCCTTAATTAATTAGATTTACCTCTGTCCTCTTATGAGCTATAACGGTATATTAAAAAGTAATGCATTATACCTAATTGTTTTTCTTGAAATATTTCGTATTATTAATTTTTTCTTAAGAATACATTAATATCAAATTAATAACATATTATCCTTTACATAAGTTCCAATATTTAAAAAATATTTTTGTAAACATTAACATCTTTATTTATATCTAGTGTTTTAATTTTATATTACTTCACATGTTGTTGTATTGCGTAATTTTACTCGTGCATGATATTGTGCATTCAAGATACAATGAACCCTAAGCAGTTTAAACATWATATCACCCTACACACTATCATACTATCCTATAATGGACACCTACTTAGAAGTGCTTACCAAAATATTTTGCATTAATGATTCGAGTTATTAAAATAAGTATTTTTAATTAAATTATATTATTCACATTATTCTTAAAGTTAAATTATAAATATTATATATATTTTTAAAGCTTTTTCTTTTTCTTTCTTTTTTTTAGTATTAAAATGTTATCAATAATAAACTAAAGTACCTACTTATAAGGTATTTATTAATAGTAATTTATGCATAACTATTATCTAATATTTACACTTTTATTAAAATTACTTATCCTTAGGGCCAGTTGTACTATCTCCGATTAAWWTTAATCGGAGTTTAATCGGCCGAATTTGCCCGGTTAAATATCTGTTATCAGCTGATTAAGCATAATCGAAGTTTAACCGTAGAYGGTAGTGACGGTACAACTAGCYCTTATAACGAAAATTTAGATTTCGTAAATAAATTTGCGGTCGATTAAAAACATTTTGAGAACGCTTGGCTACYGCATGTATAAAAATATACTTTGGGCACCATACCGAACGTAGATTCCTGTCTCATCAACCAGGAGCGAGTTTAGTTACGTTTAGTTGTGTGATCAAGTAGCACGTTTTAGTGTTTTCTTGTTTCAATGTTTTAAAGCATGTTAAAGAGTACATTATACAGTTTACAAAATAATATATAAGTAAGTGTTTAAAATTAATAATTTTTTTTTTTATTAGGTTTTAGTATACACCTGAAATAGCTTAGACATATCTTTAACGGAAAATACTACATTTAAAATATATACGTGAGTACTCGAAATTAATTTAATAAATTAAAATATTTATTGTATACTTTAMACATAATAATAATAATTGAATAATTCTAAATCCTAATTATAAAACCGTCGTTATTATTCGTACTTGAACAATTTTTACTCACCGTAACAAAACATTCAAATTACCTAATGAACCTATTTAAATGTAATATAGCTATATTGTTTTCGATTAATTGTAGCATAGTTTATAGTATATCTATTAATTATGATTAAATGAATTATATTATTTATTGTATTAATTAACTGTTTGAATTATTTAAAAAAAAAAATTTAAATAGTTTTTATATTAGAGCTCAAATTCATATTCTGTTATAGCTCTATGTAAAATACTTTTATAATCCGAAAATATTTGATCCATAGCGTTGATATAAAATAGCGATATAGTATCGAAATATAAATTTCAAATTTAAATGAATCGTATACCTATTTAGTTGGAAACCCCAATATTTTAACACTGATTTCAAATTACAAACCTATGTCATAAAACTTATCGCCTAGTTATTTTTTTTTCTACAAATACCATKAAATACTTAACTACTGTTAAACTTTTTTAATGTATTATTTAATAATTGAATAAATTKGTATTTTTTTAAATATCAACACTGCGTCAAACGTCTTCGACTCATATGCTTAATAAATTYTGGAAATGTAGTGAATGTTACAATTGCAAGTGTACAATATTAAGTTGAAATAAATACTGTATCTACGGTGCATATTATCCTGGATCTTAAGAACACAATTTTTATTTTCATTATTTAAAATGAAAAAAATCCGTGGCAACCATGTTGAAGAGGTTTAAATATAATGGTTTTTTTTTAAGTCCATCATCAATTATGTTATACGTATTTTTGAAATTATTTTTTTTGTCGGTTTTTATAAAAAAAAACAGTGTACGTAATGGTAAATGTGTTATAGTAAATAGTTTTATTTGAAATATAGAAGATTCCGTTTTTAGTAAATTGATGTAGGTATGTACAAATAATTTTGGCTAACAATAAAAGATTTACATTTTGGATTCTTGGTTTTACAATGTTTTTATTTTTTTGTTTGTTTGTCATCGGATATTGAAGCAGTAAAAATGCTTTTATCTATTAYTTTGATCCAKTTTGGGAAATTYCCGGTATTTAAATCGCAAAAGCGAACAAAGAACAATAAAAACGGGAATATTACCTCAAACCAATTTAGCCAACTYTCAACAAAATCAATATTTTTGTAATTTAATAATTTATAAGTTATAACCACAGATACTTAACATTGTCACTTTCTATCGATATTAGCATTTTCTTGACCTGATATAATTTAAAAAATATATTTGCTCTTTTTAACCTATTTAATGGCATTTAAAATTTTTTTTATAATATAATAGAACTTCTTTTGTTCGTAATTTGCATTATATTCAAAAAAATATTACTTTCAGTATCGTAGAATCATATGTATATAGTACCATAATTTTGGATAGAACACTCAATTATTATGTTTACTATAGAACTCATTTAACATTAAATTACTTGTATTATATTTTTGAATGGACATTGAACAGTTTTTCCATTAAAAAAAAAAAAATATTCTAACCGTCAAATTTAGAGCATACCTACATCATTTTAAGTTTTTTTTAAATTTAAGCGTATTGATACCAACGAACCCGAGAACGTACCTTTCAAGATGTGTTTACATTTGTATAAATTAATTATACTCGGAATTATATCACATCGAAAATCAAACTTTTTTATTTAATTTATTTGATAACATTTGTATTATAAATGCTATGCGTACATAGAAAGTAACCTATATAGGTAGTATTGTTTTTTTGCTTTTCTTAAAAATCAATATTTCCAGCTGAGAAAAATAACGAGGACATTTCTTATAACATGATTTAGGCTATTGTTAGTTTGCTACTTTGCAGACGTTAGTCAAGCATTTTTCGATATTGATGTTTTTAATTCTGTCATTATATATATATACATATATATTGTTGATGCATATATTGTCATTCATAAATAATATTTTATAGACATATACAGTTAAAATTATATCATGAATTTATAAAAATTTGTTATTTATTAGGTAGGTACATTATCTTACCTACAGACATAATTTTAATTTGATTTGATTACTATTTTTTAAGTGTAAATATTGTCGGAAATTGTTTTGAGAAATTCTATCTGTAATCAGTCATTATAATTGATATTTATTCAACAATTATTTCATTTATTTGACCAGATTTTTAGTTTTTAAGTACATTGAGAGAATGTAAGCGTTAAATCTATTATTTTTTCTGCCAAAATCGTTTTACTAATAATTTCCCTCTTTGCAACTAACATTGGGACTTAGTGCTATCTATTTTATATAGTTTTTATTGTATGAACCCATTCTCCAATCCATCAAACTACATCATTTTCAAAMGTTAGGTAAGCTKTCCTTATTTATTTACATTTAATTCATAGAAACATAAGTAATACTCTTCAAATTCTATATGCAAACRATTATTTCAACTTCGTAATATTATTGATAAGAAATTAATGATTTAAATATAAATTATAAAGGGCATTTTTAATTACCATATAATACTTATAGTGGCATATTTAAATAAATTATGAATAATATAATAT